ATTGTTTACGTACCCAGCCGGGGAGGAAAGGTATGGGATAAGCGAGCTGGCTCTACGATTGTACCTATAGCCACCATCATCAGCTCTGCAGTACTTCTTATGACCGTTATTAAATAAACAAGCCATGACCAGACGCAATGCAACCCCGGACGTACTAAAACCCCTGTTCAGAGGTCTCCCTGTTATCCTTGCCGTTATGTTTTTCAGTGTATTGGCCGCTAAACGTTACCTGCATTATACCACACCACTTTATGAAAGCACTGTAAAGATCAAACTGGCCGATACCAAAGATGGTGTGCCTAACAGTAACCTCTACAAGAACTTTGACGTATTTACCAGCACCAATAAAATAGGTACGGAAGTAGAAGTATTAAGATCTGAAGCCCTGATCGAAAAGGTCATAGATCGCGTAAATATTTCAACAGCTGTATTCCGCGTTGGCGACCTGCATAAAAAAGAGCTGTATGATGAGTCGCCTGTGACTGTTGTGCCGGGCTTAATGTCAGCTGATGGCTATGACCGGCCGTTTAAAATGATTATCAGCAACCGCGATCATCTCAAGGTTACTTTGCCGGATGGCACGCTGGTTAACGGGCTTGCGGGGCAGGAGATAAAAACAAGGTATGGCAGCTTTATTATACGGCACAATGACAGCCTGCTGACTGCACGGCCTTTATTGCTGGTTGATGACCATTATGAATTCGTGATCAATAGCCGTAAAAAATTGATATCCGGTATTATTGCCGACCTTGATGTAACTTCTGTAGATAAAGATATCCCGGTGCTCAGGGTTAGTTATAAATGCCCGGTAGCACGCAAAAGCGCCGATATAGTGAATGCTGTAGCAGCCACCTATATTGAAGACTATATCCAGGAAAAATACCGTTCTGCAGATACAACGGAAACGTTTCTGACCAACCAGCTAAAGGATTACAGCGGCAAGCTGAACGCCAGCGAAGCCCAGATACAGCAATACCGGGATAATAAGAACATCATCAACATCCACCAGGAAACGGAAACAAACCTGAGGAAGGTTGCCGACCTGAAGAAACAACTGGCCAGTGTGCAAATGAACCTGGAGGCTATCGACAGCCTTAATCATTATATAAAGAACGGCAAGGATAATTTTACGGAGCTGGCCCCCAACTTCGAAGCCTTTACCGATCTGCTAAGCACAGAGATGGTGAAAGATATGAAGCACCTGCAAGCTGATAAGGAAGACCTGCTGACAAGGTATACACCCGAGAATGAAAAGGTGGCCGTAGTGGATAAGAAGATCAGTGACCTTTCTGAATACCTTCAGGAAAGCATACGCAATACAGAAACGAACCTGCGCATCAAGTACAACGATCTCAACCAGACGATACACCAGTCTGAAGCCGAATTTATAGGTCTGCCGGAAAAAGAAAGGAATATGACGGTGCTCGAGCGGAACTTCGGGCTGAATGAGCAGATCTACCGGTTTCTGCAGGAAAAAAGAACCGACGCTACCATTGCAAAGGCAGCAACCATTTCCTTTCATCGCATACTTTCAGCCGGCGAAGTGCCAGCCGCACCCGTTTCGCCCAATGCAAAGCTGATCATTGTATTTTCCGGTTTCCTTGGCCTGCTGTTCAGTATCATTGGCATCTACAGTATACACCGTATGAAGGCCCGTGTAGACAATGAAACGGTCATCTATCGCAATTCAGATTCCGGATTGGCTTACAGCATTCCTTATTGTAAAACAGCCCGGCAAAAAAACACCCTGTTTAATCACTGGGTACTGGAGTTGGAATTAAAGCAGCAATTGAAGGAGGGAACAGTTATCTGTATAAGCTCTGATAAAAAAGAGGAAGGGAAACATTTTACAGCAACCGGCCTCGCTGCAGCTCTTGCCGCACTGGGAAAGAAAGTACTGCTGGTTGGTATAAGCGGAAGTATTGACCCTGGTGCAAATGCATACCAGCAGGCTGTTCCCGGAAAAGTGAATGCACAATGGAGGATACCCGCAGTATGGTCGTCCATGATACAGCAATGGAAAGAAGTGTATGATGT